CTTGCAAGACCAGTTCTGGTGAGCAAGATCCACGAGTGGCTTTGCAAGAAAGTTCAGCATGGATTGCACTTGGTATTGTTCAAAGATAACACGCCAATGCGCCGTGGTCGAGTTTCTGCAGGACGCAGCATACACTTGAGCTCTTGTTCCGTTTTGGAGCAAGCTCCCGATTCGATGATGCAAGCCAATGCTGGGACAAATGGGAGAGTGGCAGCCACTTCAGGGTGAGTCATACGTCAAGAAGTATTGAGAACCTTCACAAAAATCAGTTTTATCTCAAAATCCATCCCACCGTCCCACCAACGATTTGAATCCGTGAAGCAAAGGGTTTTTCAAATCCATTCAACTCCATATTCCGATAGCTAGCGGTATAAAATGTATAAAACATTCCATATTGGCCTGCTATGGAGATCGTATCAATGTCCTGAGGCCAACCAGGTTGTGCATTTTTGGTCCTCACTGTTTCTGGCCTTATCCAACTTGAATCATATTCTGTGATATTATTTGACATGATTGGAGGGTGCGCATCAACAGATCAGGACATTTTCAAGAGTATGTGTACCAAAGTCACATACGGTGGATGGCATGGCCTGGCTTTGGCTCCGCCAGCCGCTCATCGGTTTACTCCTCAGCTCCGCCGCTCCGCCGATTCCTGCGGAACTCGCGACTTCGCCGATTCGACGGCGGCTTCTCCGACGCGGCGCGCGACCGATGTGACGCGGCAGGTGTTTACATTCATACCTGGGAGCCCCTTCCCCAGGACGGGAGCCGCGGAGGGAGCACACGGAAAGAACACGGCCGCGCCTACTGCGCAGGGCGGCCGCCTTTCTCGCATGGCCGGGAACGGGATTCTTTGTTTGGCGGAGTTTGGTTGAGAAGGAAAGACGTCACTGATGGCTAAGAGCCGAGGAAACCCGAACAGACTTCTTGGAACAGCTTGTAACGATGGTGACCTGATTTGATCCATTTTATCCGGTCCAACGAGGCGCCGCGAGGGATGACGAAGCCGCTTGAGCCAGCGCCAGCTTGGCGCCATGAAGAAAAGGTGTTCTTCACAGCTGAACTTACCTAAATCCGTATTCTGTGGCAGAAACGGGGTGCCCCGTTTGGTCGCGCGTTTGTGTCACAGGAGGCAACGCTGGCCTGGCAAATCTTCCTCAACTTGGGGGCCACGACGCCTTTTCTGTTTTCTCTCGCGCGGAAGCCTAGCGGCTAATCTGGCCCGTCCAGGCTGCGCTGGGGTGCGCTGGGTGCGCGGGGGGTTCCGGAGCCGAGACGGCCGTGCGACGGTGGTCTCGGAAGGCGCCAGACGGCGCCACGGAGCCGAAGGTGATTCGTGACAGCTTCTACCGAGCAGAGATGAGCCCCAGTGTGGCCAGGAAGCAGGAGCGGGGTCTCCCGTCGGTCGCAACCAAGATCCTGTGAAAAAGCATGAAACACCAACTTTGGCCCGTTCTTTTTTGGCTCCCCTCGCTCATCACCGATCACCTTTCCTATTGCATCCTATCGCTAATAGCATAATAGCGCAGCACCCCACAAAGGGGCCCAGATCTGCGATGTTTTTTGCGAGATTTGCCGTCTTCCGTTTCACATCATCTTCAGGACATTGCTATGGCGTCCTGTGCACTACTCTATGCTGTGCTGGCATGGAGCAGTTTCGACTTTTCAATGGGACAGCCACTTGTCGCAGAGCGATGACCGGGGGGTGCATGCATTTGACGTAGCTCAGGTAGCATGCTCATACCTCTACCACCCAGGGTACCACCAGAATGAACCGAATGGTCAGCCAACCCCATCAGATGTAAGATGTGAGCTGCTTGCTTGTGGGTGGCTGACATGACCCAGATCCAACTTTGGCTGGTAGCTGTTGTTTTAGACTGGTCTATGGTTCTTCCATAGACCTGAAGGTTGGCGCGCACCTTCAGTGGATTCGATCCGATCCGTTTTTCTGTTTCTTTTTCCACAACCCACTGGTCGCTCAAGATCGCTCAAGACCACCCCACTGGTCGGTGCGAGATGATTCTCCCGGTGTCACCGCCCAATGTCCGCAGGCCACTGCAGCCGATTCCTGTTTCGCCCTGGCATTTCCTTGATGGCAGTAGCTATGCCACTTGGCCAATTTCCTGTTTTCGCCTGCATCTCTGAAAAACACAGATTCACTAGGGGGGGGTTGTGTTGTGTTATGGTCTTTTTGTTTTCTTTGGGGGAGGTTTTGGTTCTTTTTTCCTTGGTTTCGGGGCATTCCAATGAGGCTGGCGAACCTTTGGGAATTCAATTTGACCTGCTCTCCACCATGCCATCGGGCAGATTTGATTCGCAATTCGCAGCTCGGCAGATTCGATTCGCAGTGTCTTTTTTTTGCACGTGAACCTTGCCTTGTTAGAACAGTGCAGGACTGTACTCCCTCGCTCGGACAACTGCAGCTTGGAATTGTCAATTGCTTTTGTGCTGAAGACAGGTGCTGAGTGGAATCTTTATGGCCTCAAATTGCTTCAGTGGCCTTCTTTGCCTGAACACCTGCTACAAGAACAAGGCGGAAGAGACCGAAGAGAGTTCCTTCCCACCTTAGCAACTGAAAGATCTGAAAGCACCCACAGTGAGTTGAACAGCGTGGAGGCTGCTAAAACTTCCTAAGGGCAACCTAAAGGCAAAGCATTTTCTCTGCACCCAACCTCGCTCTGGCAGGCCGCAGGGGGACCTGAACAGAGGGCAGCTCGTTGCTTGGTTTCATTCTGCATGCTACTTCACTCCTTGAAAAAGTCAACAAGCATCAACAGGTGGTTTTCACCTCCTCGCTGGCAATTTGCTGCCCAAAACAATCATTTCTCAGTTCTCTTGCCTGGTTCGGTGCCTTCTCTCGTTCCGTTTCGTTGTTCACTCGTGGGTCCCGCGCGGGCGGACCCGCCACGGGGGACGACCCGCGGCTGACCTCGACACAGGTCGCCTGACGGTCTTCGTGTTTTCCATGTTGGTGAACTGCCACCTCTTGGGACTGCTCGTGGCTAGCCGACGCTGGGTGACCGAAGCACGCGGATCGCTGGATTCGCGTATGGATTCTTTTGTGGTACGCGTTGGGATGCTTCTTTTTCTTTCAAAGGGTTTGAAGTGGTTCTTGGAATCGGCGAAGATAGCCAGCCCATTTGGGAAGTCTCAGAATGCTTTCGGCATTTTTTGGATTTGCAGGACATGCTTTGGGTTGAACTTGGGATGTGGCCAAGCTGGTCTTCTTCACTCACTTGTAGGGATGTGTTTCATCCTTCTCAGGCTGGATTTGCCACAAGACTTGAACCTGGACAACGGCAGTGCTACAGTGCTGTAGCACGGGTTCCACTTCACATGCCCTCTGGGCCTTCCTGACCTTCCCACCGATCTGAAAGAAAGCTCTCCTCGGCCCAATCGAAGGATTGGCATCATCGAAGCTGGCGTCCGGAAGCCCCAGGGAACTCGTCGAAGCGTTTTGGTGTCCTTTTGAGGGGGGGCAAGCGGATGTGTTTCCAACATCGAGGCAGAAAAGCATCTACACATTGGGCAGAAAATGGCTTTTCCAATGCTATTGAAAAGGTTCTGACATTCTCCTGCATCCCATTCCTCTGAAATGTCGGGGGTGGCACATTTATGGATCCTTAGAAAAAACACATGAAACACACCTGAGACCATCGCCCGGGGTGTCAAGAGCTCGCTTAGTGTTTGCCATGTCGCCCCCACAATGAGGCTGGACATTTTTCACGTGGCGCAAGGCGGATCTCGCAACCGTAACCTGGGTGGGTGTTCTGCCACGCGGCACCGCGGGCGGTCCACCACGGGGCCTGGGGCGGGTGATATGGCCTGGGACTGGCGTAGAACGGAACGAGGTCAGTCTGATGCAGCAACTTGTGGACAGGACATTTCATGAAAGTTCCACGTATTGTGGGGTATTGTAGGATGTTGATGTAAGTGAACCAATGAGAAAATAGGAACCCAGTGTGAGAAATGAAGAGCATGGCTCAGTGGCATTGAGTGTATCTACACTTATTGATAGCAATGGCCTGCACCCTGATAGCCATGGCCACCCTGGTAGCGATGGCCTCCACCCTACTTATCAACACTGGTGTTTTCTTGACTTGCTTCAAAACTGGCCACTTTGCTCGTGCCAGGAGTGATTATTTGGGTATCTTTCTGCCAGCTGCGACTGATTCTTCGTGAGGGACATTCCAATTCGAAGGGCGAGTGATGAGTGAACCAGATGTGAATGGAGCAGGTCAAGGGGTAATGGCTCGGCGAGGAAAGTTCAGTAAGTCATCGAAAAGAACACGTGTTGTGCCAGACCTTTAAGCCCTGGCTTCTTTTTGCAAGCGATGTGCATAAGTCTCTTAAGCAGCAGGTGAATCTGCTGTGTGAGATCTATCCGTGACGGGTGCGAATGATACTGAAACCTGTATAGCAGGATACTCCACCCGATGTCACTCAGTGATTCTTTTCCCAGGGTCAATTCCTGGTATCCCTAAAACCGGGCCCTGAGTTCCTCACATATAGCCAAGAAAGCAAAACCTGAGCAGAAACCATTCCCATTTCGGTACCATGTTTGAGGCTACCAGGAATTGTCCGTGATTTTTGCATTTTTTTTGAGGTCAATGGCCCTGAAGCTTCATAGCTCACCGAATCTAAAAATTGAGCGTGCACACAGCCAACGTACTGTGTTCACCTCGCTATATGGACTGTTGCGCACTTGGACTGTCTTTGTGGGCTGTTTATGAACTGCGAGAAACAGAGTGCTTCTGTGTGAGAAATGACATCAGTTCGTATCAAAAGGCAGTTCGGTGACTGGAAAGACCTGGAACACTTGGAGTGTCCGCGAATTGCGCAGGGTCTTTCCGAAACCAGCGACTTGCACGGAAAGGTGGTCAAAAAGTGGCGTTCGCGACTGCTTCACGACTGCTTCACGACTGCGCCACGACTGCAGCGCCAGATGAAGCTTCGGACGGCGCCTGACACGTGGACCACGCACGGCTGGAATCTCCAAGGTCACAATGACCAGTACTGGTTATTCGACCGAAACGTCAAGGCCCTGGGGTGAGTCGTAGGACCCACAGCTGTCGAGTCAGGAGCGACCCAGCTGGAGCTTCTTGAACCATGTTGACCGCCATGAATACGCCATGAATACCATACAGAACCATACGGGTTTTCCATGAGAGGTGGATTTTCGGCCAGGCTGCCAACCGCACCACGCCTGAAGGTGCCGCCTTGGCTTGGGCCTTAAAACCGCCCTGCACCGCCTTGAGACTGCGGACCGCCGCGTGCGGAGCGAGGTCTGGTCGGAGCTGCCCAAACATGAAGCTGTCGAGAACGATCGAAGCTCTCAGGTGGGGACTGGACGCTTTTGGGTCCTTGACCTGTAGGGAAGATATCTTAGTACTTTTTTTCGCACACAGAAACCAAAGGAGGAGAACGTATTCGAGCACGATGGACCGTTTTTCGACGATCACGAACCTTGGAGAGTTTCATCCGTGGACACCATTTTGTTCGGAAAAAACCACAGGTGGGAGATTTTGGGGGATCTATGTGGTCCATTTGCAGTTTGGAGGGTATTCTTGTTTTGTTTGTGATCTGTGGATCGCTGGAGACTGAAAGATCTTTTGGAGATATGGCTGTGGCTCCACAACCATATACCATATATCTCCATTCATTGCTGTCGACCCAGCCGCGCAGCCGGGGAGGGGATGGGTACTGCAGGCTCCAGACGATGAGACGGTGGCAGAAGGGGAAGACTTGAAGGAGCAGGATGCGCTTGGAACTTGGACTTTGCACCTGGCAGGGTAGAAGGGAAGCATCAATATGACACAAGCATACACAAGCAAGGTGCACCACTGACCCTGATCCTTTAATTTGTAGCCCTTTTGGACTCAGCTGGTGAACTTTTGGCCATTCCTAAGATTCTCATGAATACGACATCGATCATCTCATTTTTCCATTTTTTGAGGCCGTCCTGCCCCATTTGTCCGCAACCCAGCGATGGGTGGGAATCCACGAAAAAGAAACACCGGCGCCCGGCATTTCTGTGTGGTTCTTCAGGTGAAGCGTCATAAACCAATCGTGTCCAAAGAATCTGGTGCACTTGGGGCTGTCCAGAGCACCAGGGCCGCTGTTGGTGGGCCGTTTCTGTGTTTCAGGCCATGAAAGGATGCGAAGACCACTGGCGCCACCTTGCGGTCACGCCGCATGTGAGTCTTGCAGGGAACTCAGATGCTGAGGGCTATGTGAGTCTTCTGCAGTTCTGAAGCTTTGCATGTAGAGCATTTGCGTGTGAAGAGTCCAACCCTAGCATCCGTGTGTTCGGCCGTGTGATTCACGTCCGTTGTGTGGATGTCACTGGATGTCTATACTCTTCAACATGCGGTGGTTCAAACAAACAACGAACAAATCGCAGACGAACGAACTGACATGCAGCAAGAGTTCTGCTAAGGCCTGACCAGAGCAGTTGACTTGCGGCGAGAATGTGTGGCACTTGGAGCTTTTCCAGAGGTCGTGGACTTGCCAGAGGGACATCTTAGAGACTTTTCAGGAAAAACACACCCCATGAACATGACGGACGATTCCTCTCTTGCTGTTCCGTCCGGTCACACGTGGTACCTCCTCGAATACGTGGGTGAAAAGAGATTTTTTTGGACCGACGTACGAACATGAGAAACCACGAAACCAAGTCGTTTCACCACGAAGAGGTCCCTATTGCAACGACCACCTGAGGTCCCTATTGCCGCATGACGACCACCTGCGCGCAGTTGACTCGGTGTGGGACCCGACCCACGGTGACCCGCGCCGAAGTCCACCGCAGGGAGGGCCTTGGGCGCCGCGGAGTCACCCTCTGCGTTCCGCTGTTCTGCTACGGATCTCGAGTCTTTTTTGGGCAGAAATGGGGGGACGCGTTTGGAAGGATATCATGATTGTAAGTATAGTGAAGATGAAGATGCAATGGAAGACGTGTAGCCGTTTGCCGGGATGCTCCCATGGAAGACCACGCGCAGACACGCGTGCGTAGTAGGCCAAATGTCCGCTGCGTCCAGGACATTCGGTGAGGCCGAGAAGGCCGAGGCCGAGGGTCCGATCGCCGAAGCTTGTCTCAGGTTGGATCCTGAACCCAAGAAGGCCAGACTCGACGCTCCCGAGCACGGAGAAAACGGTCCGAGCCGACGCGGTCGGACCGAGAGTTTGGTCGGACCGAGATGGGGCAGGTTCCCTGGTCGTCTATTTCGGTTCACTCGGGTTCCCCGGGGGTTGTAAGTCATGGCACAGCCAATGTATGTCAATATCTTCACTGCACCCTTCCAGATGCAGAAGTTCCAGGAGTAATATGACGTGTTTGAGTTCAGGGAACACTGTTTGAGTCAACGATATTCATATATTCATATTCCACCTTCTTCAAGATCCTTACAATGAGATTTAGCAGATCCGTTCTTCAGAGGCTAGTGTATCCGCTTGATGTTCTGTGTGCGAATCAGGCTCAAGCAATGTATATGGCAGTCAGCAACCCCTCATGACAGTTGAAAGGCGAAGATTTGATTCACATGACATTTTGACTCAGGGTTAAGGGGCAACAAAACACCGTCAGTTCCGAGGTGTTTGGGGTCCAAACCCGTTGGGACCACATCCCAAGTATCATGGTTTAGTAGGAACTTGTTTGTATCAAGACACACATTCAGGACCGGGGAACTTTCCAGGCCACGAACACAATCCCTTGATGACTGGGCCTTGAATGCCACCGACTGCCTTTTGACATGCGAAGACTTCAGTCTACGTCTTTTCAACTGCCTGTGGTATCTTCGGTTCGTTTTGGTCCACCGCAACAAGGGGTCTCTGGATCACAACCAAGCACAACCAAGCAGAACGAAACACTGAGATCCGAGAACTGTAGGCTTGACCACCCCGCCTGATGGTCGCAGAGTCCGAATGCTGGGGACCCCGCCTGCTCTCGAGAAGAAGGACACATGATGGTTTCCAAGTGACTTCTCGCTAACATGGGTGACGTTACACCATTCTGGTGTCCTGGGTGTGTGTGACTTAACAACGCCACTAAGTAATGTAGACTCTTGATCAACAACCCCACCTGAAGAGGTTCTTCAATCCAAATGCGGGGGTTATGGCGGTCCTCAAGAGTCTATAGTATGAGATGCAAGATGAAACATCTTGTGACCATTGCGCCCGTCGTGCCCAATGCTCTCCATTTCTTCTTCACTCAGCCAACGAGAAGAAGACCAACGACAAGAGCAAGATCAGCTGTTCTTGGTTTGAACTGCCACCCAAAAGCCGCCAAAAGGCTTTTCAAAACAGCAGTGTAGTTGAGGGCTATTGGATGGTAGTGGCAAAGGGATGATGCAAGAGGCACCAACAAGTCATGTGGGAAGCTCATGGAAGCTCTTGATGGCTTTCATCACCCGGCGTCCGAAGTTCATGAGGCTACCGGGAAGTTTACCCTTGAATACCCTTGAGTACTTTAGAGAGAGAGAGAGAGACCTCTTCCAATCGAACGGCCTCAGTCACTCCTGAACAGTCTCAGGTCCCTTTGGGCAGCCTTTACAGCTGCCTTCCAAGGCACCAATTCTGAAGCCAAACACGGCGTTTGTGCCAGCAGGGTTTAGTGTGGCTTGACACCGGCGCGACGTGGGTTTTCTTGGAAGTAAATACAATTGAAACAGTGAAGCAAGCACATTTGCAAAAACCATCTCAGATAAGGGATGTCGCATCATTTTATTCATCTGTGATATGTGCTACCGTTCTTTGGCAAATTCACGGAAGGTCCCAAACCAGTCGATTGCTTCCCAAGTCACGTGCATCTCACCAGGAACCTTTATGGCCTATCCGTGAGGACCAGAAGCCCGAGGCGGATTGCACTGCGTCGGGCCTCCCTCAACAATTCCCCTGGTGAACAGCCCGCGAGCCGGCCAGGGCAGGTGGACCTCCTTTTCCCCGTCCGACCCATCCAGACAAAACAATCCGGACGAAGGAAGGGTTGGGGTCCGTCCAGGTGGTCCACTCCGTGAAGGAGTTCTTGGAGGTCTTGCAGATGCAAACGCATGTGGATCGAGTCGTGGCCAGGGGTCCCGCAGGAGTGGCAGGAGTGGAGGGAGGAGGGGAGGGAGGAGGGTCGTGCGTTTTCATGAGGGGAAACCGGAAGATACGCGAATGTTCATCCGCAAAAAAGCACACGTTGGACCCCAGGATATGGAGATTCGTTTTTTTTTACAAACAAGAACAGCGCCCAAAGGAATGGCAGGCCAACAAAGAGGACGTGTTGAAACAGAGTTGGTAAATGCTGAGAAGCGCTCTGACATGCACTCTTTGCGAACACCAGGAAGCTTGAGACATGGTTTCTGTCTTCTGAACGTGACATCATGTGAAGCAAAATTGCACGATATGGAGGCCTATTAACCAACTGTCCTGTTTGTTTTTCTTCAGAGTAGCTCGGACATCGCAAAGGTCTTGCCCAATGGGATTGATCTACTACAGCAGCGTGACGCAGCACCCATACAGTCCCTGCCTGAAACTGGAAGCTCAGCACATGGCAGATTTGGAGCCTGTTTCTTTCAGCACTTGGCTGGCAGCATTTGGACATCCAAGACACTTATTTCAAGAGTATATTTGGCTTTGGCTCAGAAAGTAAGACCCAGGAGCTCGCACAATTTTGGACCATAAGACAATTTCATGTCGCCAATTTGGAACAGTACCAATTTTTGAGCCATATCCATCTCATTCTCTATCAGGATCTCATATTCTGACACGTTCAATCCCAACGTCGATCCTGTCAACCAGGCTGTGCGAAGCTGCCCGGGGTTCCTCCTCCATTCGGCAAGTCCTAGCGCAGCTGGGGAAGATGGTGCCCAGCTCAGGGCGTTTTCTCAACGTCCGAGCTCAGTGGCGCTTCAGTGAAGCCTAGCTCAGGTCTGTAAGCATGGAGATCCATGGCTTCGTGGAGAGAGACAGCACCCGCAGATATAGAGTTCCACGTCGGACTGAGAGAGCACCACAGGTCACACCACCTGGTCCTTCCACCTGACACCTGATCTAGTAACATGAGGGAGACGTTCCGTGTCCCTGCAGGCTTCCTTTGCAAACGATTTCGATTCCCAGCTTTCAGTCCATTTGATCCTGGCTATTCCGTCACTGGTGCAGATCAGACTCTAGTTGCCAAGCTATGGAGCAAAAAACAATTCTGGTGATGAGTCGTGGCAGACCATGCTCACCCGCTCAGTCCACCTTGCTCGCCGCGAGTTCCGCGGCTGAAAACGACCGTGACCGACACCTGGTAATTAGGGACCTACCGGACACGATCTGGTGTTTTGACCAAGAGCTTGTGACGGATGCCAAACGCCACGCTGCCAAACGTCACGTGGCAAGGGGTTTGATGCATTCTGTGTCAAGGGAAACCAGCTCAACGGCTTTCAAGCCCGAAACTCAAACTCTGAACTCTGAGACACCCAACGATTTCATCCATGTTTCGTCCTCCTATGTAAGATATGTAAGTTTGGACTTCATCTCGATCTCGTCTCTTCTCTCGCCCCCCAAACCCGACGTTCCGACCGGCGCCGACCTGGTCGGTCCGACCTCGCCGGTCGCCCGTTCGCCCAGGCGCCCGCGCCGCGCTTCCGCGTGCGCGGCCTCGGCAAGACGCGTCCGTTCGACGAGTGGACCCGTTCTGGTTCAGCACGTGAGAGAGAGAGAGAGAGGTGAGGTAGTAGATGAGAGAGGTGAGGTAGATGAGGTTGGTGTTTTTTTTTGTGTTTGTGTGTGTTTCATGATGATTCTTCATGTTTTTGGTTCTGTTATTTTGAAATTGATGCCCAGTGCGGTGTTTCGATGAGAGTGGACGGGTTTGTTCTACTTCTCGAATGGCCAGAAGTGGAATCAACAAGTCCAAAACCCTGATATCCAGGCGCGGCTTTGGCACTACAGTCAGCGTGGCCGCGAGAAAGAGATTAAGGTGCAAGAGATTCGTGGCAAACGTGAAAGATTGGCTTGGAGAGACCAACAACCTTGAGACAAGTCTATGTCAGATGCCCTGGTTTAAACGAGGGTTTCAAGGCACAAGTTTGGTTGGAAAGCTCTGGGACCATGTCCGTTCTTCCTTTCTTGGCCACCTTGGCTTCTCCCCATCCTGGCTGGTCCAAGGTCGTCCTTCATTTCTGTTCTCCCATCTCTTCTTGGCATCAGATCCTGAAGAACATCTCATAAAATCTCTACGCCTCCAACCTAAGAGCGATGGCCTCCAACCTGAACATCTCATAAAATCTCTACTGACAAAAAATACAGACTCCACTGTTTGAAGCCTCACCTGTCACCTCACCTGGCCTACACAAACTCTGCCCAGTTCTCAGCTCTTCGTCCACACTCCACCGCTCGTCTTCGCAGGTGAAAAAGGACTCCAAGGACGACCCCAAGGACCCTCGCCGGTCCGACGGGACGCCGGCGGCCAAAAGAGACACGGACGCCACGGAGAAGAAAAGCCTCGTTGGGAGTCCGAAGAGGAGGGGGAGGGAGAGCTCTGTGGCGAGGGAGGTGAGGCAGTGCTTTTGCGATGTTTTGTATTGGTTCGATTCTTTTCTCCGTGTGTTTTGCAAGTGGCCGGATCCAACTGGATCGACTCCCAAAAGTCACGGCCTCACAACTTATTTTCTGAAACATGAAGACTTTCACTTCTCGGATAACAAAGACTTCTGGCCCTTTCCGTTTACGGAGTCTGAACACACCGCTTTGCTTGGTGATTGACTCAGCTCCGCAGCTCCCTGTTTCTAAAGGTTCCAAGCGCTGAGGCAGCACTGGCGCGGCAGCTTCAAGAGCTGGAGGGCAAAGCCAAAGTCACAGAGAACTTGGCACGCTTGGACTTGGGCTCGGTTTTTGGGGGTCGAAGTGGCAGGTTTTTGAACTCAAGTGGATTTAGGCCGCTAGTGAAAAAGGAACAGGAAGGATCTTGACCCCGTGGGTTGCTCTCGAAATGGGTCGACTCTTTCAAAGGTCTCCTGACCAGTGGGATCTTGAGTTCCCTAAATTTTGATGAACTTTGCAAGAACCCTTAAGAACCTCATGTCACCGTGGGCTGCTGGGGGTGCAACGATCTGCTTGCAGCGGTCCTGACCGCCCACCCCCAACCCCACGCTGCACCGTGGCAGTCGGATGCTGCGCTGTACATCTCGGAGCTTCGTTGGCAGAGGAAGGCCACACCGACCGGGCGGGCGTCGGATGCCGCCCCGGATGGACGAGGGTTCGCGACAGCAGGGGATGGGTGTTCCACGCGTTTTAAACGTTTCGATTTGAAGTTAAGCCGAACATGCAACGGGCCAACGGGTGTCTTCCACCACGTTCGGACTCCTGTCCCACTGGTTCGGGTTTTACCGGGTTTTTTCCAGAAAAAGAACGACCGCGGTGGATGCGTTTGGCTCAGGTGAGACATCCACTGAACAAACAGGAGCGCGTGAAAACTGCTGGGCACCCACGGAGAACTGAGAGCTGAGGAGAACTGGAGTGCTTGGTTTCGAGGCAGACGGACTGAATTCCGGAAGATGGACTGAATGGAAATAGATCCGTTTATGCAGCTAGCGAGAAAGGGGGGTTTTCCAGACACCCATAGGGTCCAAGTACCTCCTGAGGCCGGTCGGAGAAAACACTTCCTGAGGGTGTTTGGGACTCAAGAGCATCCTGAACAAAGGTCCTGGATTTAAAGGCTTACGCCTGACAGCCGGGCGCCAGCCGGCAGGGAGAAGAGAGAAGGAAGGGATAGGGAGGAGACGGGGGCCGGGGGCGTGGGACACCCCGGCAGCATCCTCCGCGAGGAGGAGGCGGACTGTCCTGTAGTCCGAGATGTCCAGTCCAGCTTCTCTCCGCCGCCCAGAAAACACCGCAAATCAAATAGTTTTCGGACATGTCCAGCAGACGTTTCTCTCCGCAACCCAAAAGAACCGTAAAACATATAGTTTTCGTCCAGTCCGTACTCTTTCTCCTTCGCTAGAAGAAAAAGAGCCAGAGAGCCAGCGAAAGAACAAAATGCTAATAATGCATGGCTTTTCGGGCAGCGCATCTGGCACCACGAGCCTTTGAACACGACCTCGCATCCACCACCACATCTATCTTGCCACAAAACATCAAAAAATCGGACGGCCACAAAGCACGGTAAATTACAGCGAGCTCAGTGGGTTGGCGAGGGTCGGCGGCTGCCGGGGCCAACGAAGTAACCTTCGGTTACACCGACGGGTGTGGGGCCGCCCGGATTTTCTGGGACATGCACGCCCCGGTACCCTCCTTGACCGGCGACCGAGGCCACGAACTGCGACGTCTACGACGTGGCTCCCTTCGCCAGGCGTGACGGGGATGGTCGGAGCTGGACGGAGCTAGGTCGCCAACGGATGGACGGTGGAGGGATGGACGGTGCAGTGGACAGGATGGGTCACAGGCTGGGACGAGTTTGTTTTTCTTTTGTGAACTCATCCAAACTTGGGACATGAATGTCAGAAAAGAGGAATTCCGGGATTTCTCGATGGTTGTTAGATGTTCATAGCTGATGCTGATGGAGGACTGTCCATCTACCGTGGCACAAGCAGATCTATACCCTGGATTGACCTCCCGAGCTTGTCTTTGAGGCATATGCCATTGTGGGAGCGCTCGGAGGGAGGCATTTTCGTGGGTGAACGAGGAGCTGGATCAGGGTCAAGGCCTCACTCCTGCACGAGCTGAAACTGCAGCGAGCATGCGGGTTACCCACATGCGTCGAAGCCTCGATATTGCTTAATTAGGTGGAAAGGGGTTTTGTGCGAGAGGTCCTTGAGGCAAAGATCTGGCTCCACATTGATTCCAACATCCCATCCATTGTTTGGAAGATTCAGATGGACCCTGTTGGACGTGCTGCTTGTACGTGCTCCAACTCACTAAGGCTCCACGTTGACCAATGCCTTTGGTCCAATGTGGGCCAGCGGACCGAGACGGGGGCCCACGATGGCGCTCAAACCCAAAGAAACACGTCACCGATTCAGGAGTCGTCTGACGGGGTTTGGGAGATGTTTTGGAGCCAATTCTCAAGCCGGCCATGCCGCTTCCCACAAACACTCTGTTCCTTTTTCGTGTGGCTGTTGATTTGGAGGGCGAAACCAGTCGTTTGTTTTTTTTCCGGTTTCGAGGTCGCAATTGGTGTGGCTTCAAGCTCTTTGCCATTTGGCCCTGGTCCGGCCCATCAGACTGGTCAGGGGAAAACGTTGGGTGGACCGGACGAGGTGTTTGCTTGGACCGGTGCTACGTCGTGCTTCCGGGGCCTTAACAGCTTGACCAATTTGAGCCAGGTCCATGCAGAATCTTCTTTCAACCACCTGCAAAATTGCTGTGGCACAGGTGTTCATCCTTGTTCCAGCTTCGAAACAGAGTAAACCGAGAGGCTGGTTGACTTTGCACCCACGGTGCTTTCAGCAAAATTCCCCAACCTAGCAGATCGTTGTGCCATTGCCAGCCAAGGGGTCTCATGATTTTTTAGGTACAGTGAATATCATGCACACGGGAGGTTCCAACAGCTGAACATTTTTGAACGAATATCTGCCCGGAACGAACAAATAGGACCCCAATTCTTACACTCCGCTGATGTAGGTAGGAGGGGACAATCGTTTTGTTTTCCTTCCAGAACGCATCATGTTCGTTCTAAGTTCTGATTTTCTGCTGTTTGCCATCAGCAACAGCCACCAGCAGCTCCACTGGAGCGAGCACCTTTTTGCTGCGAGGCATGAAAGGCATTCGATCCTGGATGAGGCAGGCAAAGGCCGGAGAGGAGGGAAGACACTTTCTTTACATTGGAAACATGTTGAAAGTTGCAGGTGTAGACCTGTTGGAGGGTGCTGGTACCTTGTTCAATTGCATGTTTTACGTTTTTTACTGGGGAAGAAGCAGCGGACATGGAGCTGAAGGGTGAAGTTCCCAGATCTGTTTCCGCAGGTGCCATTTTTTGCCCTCCGCTGACGTCAGAAGAGGTTGGAATGATGCGAACAATGCAATGTCTCCAGACTGTCACCACTGTCATACCAATGTCACTGCTGTGCAAGAAATGGCATCAGCTGTGAGCCCCAACTCTGCAGGAAGGCTTCTTGAGTCGAGCCAAGACAGTGTGACCCTAATGCTTTTGCTGTGCCGGCTTTCTTGATTTCAACATTTTTCGGATCCTTTTCAATCGTTCTAGCATCTGTTCAATCCTTTCGCACCAAACACGCGCACGAAAGGAGTCCAAACTCATTCCCTTTTGCCGATCTCGACTGAGGTCGCACTAGTGGGACCCGGAGATGTCTGGGTCAGCACCTCGATCCACGCCCGTGCGGCACACAAGCCTTTCGGAGATATTTAGATTTAGAATCAATGATTTCCTGAAGGATCTTGGACTGTCAATCTTGGACTGAAAGAGCTTGGACGTACCTTCAAGTCCCATAGCATCATATAACAAGTGCTTGGACTGTCAATCCTATGGAGCTCGATGTGCCTGCCGCGCCGACGGCACGTTTCAGTTTGATGTGCACGTGACGTCAATCCACATGTTTCGCCGTGTGCCGAGGTGTTCTCAGGTGGTCAGCCTCACACGGCCATGTGCGTGGGAGATGGGATCAACCTGTGCGCCTATGAGTCCGACCCACTCGGTTTGGTGGGACGAGGTTTGGATCTGCGAGGAGGTTTGGACGAGGATCATGATCGTTATGTGCATTTTAAGGCGAATCTGCGCGGATCTGTAAGGGTTTGGATGAGGATCTGTTGATGGTTAGGAGGGTTTGGGTGGTTGTTTGGAGGTCGGAGGAGGAAGAATGACCATGAAATTTGTTTTTTAAATATGGAATTTCACCCAAGGCCATGAAGGTTGCGATGGGCGTTCATCATGTGAGGTTTCTGGCCCATCGCCACATTTATTGGTTCGGGTCCGCCCTCCAGTGAGTTTGCAAGTCCAATGGTTTAGCAATCAATTTGTGGGTCGGATCTGCCAATAGGCAGGCTGCCTCAACATCGATGCATTGATTTGTGGCAAAGAGTGGAATGAGATGAATGAGAGAAGAAGAATGCAGGGGCTCTAGCAAAAGCAAGGCAAGAAAGAGCCCCGGGTGTGTATTTAAAGAAGGAGAGCCCCCTGGCTGTGGCTGGGTAGACTGGCTATTTCCCGATGGAACTGGGATGTATCCCAATTTCCAGAAGTTGTACTTGCTTGTGGAGCATCACATGATGTTTGAGAGAGACATAGACTATGAAGTATGAAGCAACATCAAAGCAACAGTCTCTACATGTTTCTATTTTTTGCACTGCGCTGAGCGGAAGCTAGCAAAGTTTTCCCAGATTGGAATGCGAAACATGTTCCCAACCAACAAGATAATTCTTGGTTTGCCCTATACTTTGCCTGCACATCTTGCACCCGTTACTTGAGGTGCGAATCTGATTGAATTTGTATCTATTTGCCGCCTCAGATCAGTCCAGATGTGAGGTCCTTTGTTCCAGCAAATGAAGAGGTGCGTCGGCGCCTGACCACGCGGGGCTGGTGGTGGAGCGATGAAGGGACTTGATGGGTGAAGTGGAGTAAGCTCACTCGAAGTCCGCTTCCAAAACCATCCACATGGGGCAAAATCAGGTAGAACCAGCCCATGGGACGACGAACCAGCGACTCTGCGACGATGGGCGCCCACGACCGGAGGCAGTGAGCCTGCTGGTGCAGTCGAACACCAAGGAATCTCACTGGCGGAACTGTTGGATGGACGTGGGGGGGCCCAGTTTTTGGGCCGAAACGGCATCCCACGGTGTATTCTTTTTTGGAGAAATAAAGAGAGGCATACGGGTGGGATGGTGGGTTTTGGGCCGCCCAAGATCGCGGCCCAGTGGGAACGGTCGACCGGAGGTGAAGATCGCGACGACACTCGACGAAGCTCGTCTTAGGATGATGACTTAGATGAACTCTACGAGGATGTGGTTGATTCGTGCTGGCCCCAGACATGCTGCACCTTTGGGGCTGGCCCATGTGAGACTAAAAAATTGTCTCTGCCCCCTTCAGTAATCTAGTGTAGCTTTCTTGATTCAATATATATTATAACTATAATTCAATTAGTAGTGCTTGGACCACCAGCTAATAAGGATGGATGACCTGTGGACGTGGCTTTCTCGCCACATTGGCCGCTGAACCAAATGGCGATGACTCTCCGGTGTCCCATTCGCGAGGTTGCAAAAAGCGCTGGCATGCTCCTCCTTGAACTCTCGACTGCGCGGTCGCGTGAATGCCCAGCGCTGGTGACGTCGGTGGGTTTGCCTTCGGTGACTGGGCCAGTTACGGTCGCGTGCCTGCGGTGCCCAAAACCAGTCACCTTAGACTGGCTGTGTCTCCATTTAAGCGACAGGGGGTCGGTCCCCCGGTCATTCTTTCTGTTAGTGGACCACCTTCGAGAAAAATGGATCGATGACACAGGACCTTTGAAAGCAATCAGACCCGCTCTGTGAACCCTTCGCTGTTTCGGAGAGAAAGACCGTCGCGTCCGCACGAAGCGCGCGCGAAGCGACGCGCGGAGGCCCGCCCCCGAAAGCTCCGAGGCTTGGAAGGCTGTCGCCGAGCCATGCGAGAGAGCGCCACACTGAGGCTTTGAGGAGTGTTTTTTTGCGGTTTGACGTCCACATGTTAGTGGTGATGTTGGGGGTGTCGATAAACCAACCCGAACTCGGTGGTGCTGGGGTTATGCGCTTTCCCATGACGAAATGGACATGGCAACCCACCGCTCTGCATTTTTTCCGAACATGCGCTCTCCAGAAACCACGTAGGCGGTGTTGGTTTGTCGGTTTATCACCGCGCCAAGGCAAGGATAGCTATTGCAAAGAGCTTTGGGCTTGGGTTCCAAGTTCCGCTGGTTTTCTGTGCTTGGGTTGCTGCGCTGCGCATGTCACCGATGGTTTTCGGTACGCTGCGCTGGTCTCCGAGGGGTTTTCTCCGAATCTTCAAGAGCTTGGTGGATGGACCGACATACTCAGAACCATTCAAAACCGATGTGCCTCCAGCCTGTCTCTCAGTGGTAGGTAGATAGAAGTAGCCCCTTTTGTAGCTAGCACATTGATAGCAAGAATTCGTGCTAGATGCCTATATATATATATAGGTAGCGGTGTCCTTTGCTCCTAGTAGCTTCTTGTTACTAGTAGTACGGCCAGAAGCGCTCCGTTCGTAGCGGGGGGGTTTGACAGAATGGCACCCATGGGGAGAGAAGCCAGACAAGTGTCGCATGGCACGACGTCGTCACTTGAACCAGTCACGCCTGGTATTTGTAGTGACCATGCTCACTCTGTAGTTAACACACCTTTTCAAAGGGAACGATCGAGAAAGTTCGGTGTCTCAAGACTAGGAAGGTGAATGACGAATGACTTTTCACGCCCAACGAGACAGAACTGAGGAACAGGAGGATCGCGGCCAGCGCCGGCGTCGGAGGGAGGAGGAGTACGAGGAGAGGTCACATCTGACATCATTTGAGCTTGAGGACTGGACCCCAACAGTGCCGGACGTGTCATGCCCGCCCGAAAAAAAGTGATGTGCCGGACGATCAATCTAAAATGGATCCCCGGGTGGTTAAAAGATGTTTTCCAAGGCCTCGGGCACACAGAAGGAATGATCATGAATTGGGTGTTCCATATAGTTCCTGTGATGTTCCTGGTGTTTTTGAGATTTCGTTTCATTGAAGGGTGTGGATTCAGCTGGGCACTCTGAGGAGAGTTCCAGTGACCTGGAGATCCAGCAAGGCCAGTAGCCCGGCGCGGGCTAAAAGTTGCAGAGCAGCATGTCTAAAGCGTGTCAAAGCATGAATACCAACGGCCTCCAACCTTACAGCAACGGCCATTCTCTCAACCTAATGTCATGTTTTTTTTCCAAGTTCCCAGTGGTGCAAGATCAATTTCCGTCCTTCATGGATCCCGAAACAACGTGGCTGCTTTGATCGCCCCCGTGGCGCCGCAGGCTCCAAGAAGCCTCGGGTCGACGGCAAGTCAGAGACTTGAATTGGCCTTGGCGCTCTGGAACCTCAGGTAGACCCTAGACATCCCTAGACTGATATATTACACCCCCCACTCGTGAAGAAGTCGATCCAAATGGGGCTCCAAACAGTTTCCTTTTCAAATCAAGCGCCTACACATTTTCTGGCACCTGGCGTTCATTGGGATTCCTAGCTTCAGGAGATTCACGCATGCAACGAATGCGACAGAAAACGTTGCTTCACCTGTCTAGGCGCATTCCGGAACCTAAGGTCTTCTTCACCGGGATCCGTCTGACGCGCTTGTGCTTGTGTCCCCGCTTGGGGGAAATGCGCTGGGACCCATGTTCCCTGTGCCGGTTTTGCAGCTCCACTGCCCCCAGAATCGGGCTTTCTGCAGTTTTTGCTGATCCACATGCTTCAATTGCTCCAATCGGGCTTTCTCCACTATTTTCCACTCCAACCTTCTCTTGATCCTGCCGGTTTTCGCCCGCTTCTGAGGGACTCCTGTCAATGGTCCGTGCTTCGAAGAAGTGTGGTCTCGTCGGCGCGAGCTTTCGATCATCGATGTGTCGATCGATCGGGACGGGAGTGATGTTGAAAGACTTGAGCAGCTTGAGAAAGAAAAGTTACGAATATATGTATATACATACAGTTATACAATATAGAATTTCTATTTCAAGGATAAAACTCGTGGCACCCTGCCTGGCATGCACTTTCTTGTCCCCCTCAAGGATTTTCCACGGTGGCAGACTGGATGAAGCGCATCTTCTGCCCCATGCCCTTTCGCAACTCACAGGCTCACAGGTCTGTTTCATGAAAAATGGTCATGGTGACGGACAAAACGTTTCAGCAGACTAGAATTTCTGTCCAGCTGTTGCCCTGCAACAACCCAGCGGTCAGAGCATCCAGGTGCCACACAACTCAGATGTTTTGCTCGAACAAGCTTCATTGCATGCTCATTCTACCAGAGTTGCCAGGACATTTCACATCTTCAGCACTCATTCCACTCAAACCGAGTCGAAGCGTCCAGCACGGCACATGGTCATGGCGAGTCCCTCGCTCGGACTGCCGTCCGAGCGTGAGGAGCGAGTCCCAACCGAGCAGATCTTGGGCGAAGCCGCAGACCCTGAAGCAGCTGAAGCAGCGGAAGCAGCCGAGGCCGGAGCTGAGGCCGCCGAGGCCATCGCCGCGGTCGGCCCCGAAGAGGCGTCGGAGCTCCCGGCGCTCCATACCTTGGAGTTTCCCGATCGCCGGGATGAGCGCCAGCGCTTGGGCTTGATTCGATTCCACTTGGAGGATGGAGTGCCCGAAGTGGGAGGCTTGGGCTGGCGGTCGCGAGGCGGACATTTGTTAAAGAATCAGACCTTCTTTGCTAGCAAGCCGGGGGAGAATCTGTGGAACAATCCCACCCACGCAGGGCCTCGTACTTGGCGCACCTATCATGGTCCCAAATTGCGGACGGAGGCGGATTTGATGGAGAGGATGGATCGGATTGAAGCACATCATGCGAATTGGGAAGCCAAGAAGGCATTTGTGAACACCGTGCGGGTTCAGACCTTAGATCGCTTTTACAGCAAGAAGGTGGAGAATGAGCAGAAAGAAATGGCCGCGACCTGGGCCCCTCATCGCAGGAATCGAGCTGAGTATCACAAGTATCATGAAACCTTGGCATCCAACTTGGACAATATGCCCATGAAGGAGCTGAAGAAGGTTCTGACTCCAACCGTACTTCACGGTGACCGTGAAGCGATCCGTGCGATCACCAAGCGCATTCAAGTGGAGGAAACCTGGAAGCTGGCCTGGAAAGACATGGAGATGGCACGTAGAGCAGAGACCCAGGCGGATTTGGAGCATCGGATGACTTACAACGCCATGCTCATGGAGCTAGCAGGTCAGAAACGCATCCACAAGCCACAAAATACCCCAGTGAGATGTTCACCAAGAGTGAAGCATTTGGCGCTCCCTGCCCAGCCTAGGACTCCAGATGATATCACCAAGCGTTCAGATTATGCCGGCTTGGTCCATGTGGACAACCGCCATGCCATGGAAGCGAGATTTCCAGGGTCTGGACATGCGCTCACCACCACCTTCACCGCCGATGCCACCGCCCGGAGCAAGCCGGCCTTCCCACCACCCGAGCCTCCTCCGACCCCCTCCTTCGCACGCGGTGCCGGTGCCAGCCCCAAGGAGCCGAGGGCGACTCACTCGGCGCGGAAGCCGGTGGTGCGGAAGGGCAGCATGCCAGTGAACCAACAGCGACTGCAAACCGTGAACCGACGACAGGAGCCGGTGCTCGGAGCGGTGTTCGGAGTGTTCGGAGCCGGTGTTCGGAGTGTTCGGTGGGGAGTGCCGATGGAAGTTGGGAACGGTGAGCTCTGCAGTACTGGTGGAAGAAACTGCAGTTAATAGCAATGATTGTCAGCATGCAAGGAAGAATCCTTTTGGTGTTTGCTGTGCACCCAGCAAGGGAACATCCAGATTCGATCAACTCACTCAACTCTGAGTTTATCAAAGAGTTTGAGTGATTGATTACCAGAACACTCAACACTCAGTTTATCAGATGACCAACATGATTCTTTTTGGGAACACACCCCAGTTGGACCGAGCTGCTGAGATAAGTCGGTCCGAACCGAGTCGATCTGCACGTCTTCGTCGGATCCCACGGTGGTGACGGCCGGTGCTCGGCTCAAAATTCCTTTGAGCCCATGACATGCTGGGAGAGCTCCATGACATGAGGAAAAAGATCACGAAAGGTAGCCTCAGGGCTACAGTTCTCATCAGTTCTCCCTTTGAGCGACGTCTTCGTGCCATGGTCCACCATCTCTCTCTTGAGTTCTTGGTCCCCACTCTCCCATCTCTCGACCCTCGCAGAAAGCAGAGGACCCTTCCGTCTTAGCGGAGCACTCGCAACAGCAGTTTCTGCCCACGTCGGCACCGCCGCCGCAGGGTGCTCAGCGCTGAGAACTCGAAGTGAAACATGCGAAACAAGTACTCGAAAGTTCAAGCTCACTACCTGGACCATCCAAGGGGGGTGCGCAATGGAAGCCTATTGGAAGTGTGGGATAGTCCATAGGACACCCATTGGATGGTCCTGGTACCGATACATACCCAGAACCCTATACATCAGCTTCTAAAGTCTAAATGTGATGTAGTACATGGACTGGGAACCGAAGGTCTCACCCAAGACCGGCATGCGGTTGACTTGTTGAGGCAGGGTTCACCCCGGTTGGCGGAGACTTCGACCGCTTTCAGCAGGTCTTTGGGTGAGTTGGGGTTCTTTTTGGTGCAACTCCTTGCAGCCGATGTCCGGATCTTTGACGGGTAAAGAAGAAACTAGTAACAAGCTACCAGTAGCAAGGCACCTTACTAGTAACAAGAAGCTACTAGGTTGGAGGCTAGTAGCCTTGACTTCTCCGGTCATAGTTGAGGCATGGTCCATGGAAGTCCATGGTGGTGTGACCGATGTGAGGAGTGGCAGATGTTTTGTGCCAAATAGCAGCGATCTATGGTTTCACTGACCGCCAAAAAGCAATAAACATAACCAAAAAAAGATATATAAACAAATATATATAAAAAAGACTCAAATGGACTCAAAGAGACATATCCTGTTGGTGAGCATGGCAGAAGATCATTATTTTTTGCCATAGGGTGTGGGGGCGAGAGTCTGGTGTTGACTGAGGCCGGATCAGGGACAGCTGCTGCTGAAGGAAACCAACGTCGGGGAACTCGGAGTTCATCAACTGGGTTGGTTGACTGAAGCTTCGCTGGGTTGACGTAACGTAGTTGTTTTTGCATTATGTATATTATTTCCTAGGTCGTGCTAGGGTCCTAGGCTGGTTGGCTAGTCGCTGTGCTGGGTGAAGTGCTTCGATGGATAGATGGGTGAGTTTGGTGGTTGATTGGTAGGTCAACGAGAAGACACATGAAGCATGAAGCACCACCCTTTAAACATATTTTACTATGCATTGGAGCAACATCATCATCTCCTATACACACTTCCAAAAAGTTCCTGCAATTGAAGAGGCGACCCTCCTCTCTGCCCTTGTCATCTGGCCCGCTCTCCTCTTGCGGTCAACACCTCGCGCTTACAGCCGGCCCTACCGTGCCGCGTGTGCTTGGCCCAACGTTTACGGGGCGTCCCTGCCCCGCGAAGTCCAACGCTGGACCTGAGGCCGCGGATCAGCTCCACATGAGCGTGGAGTTTCCACCGCGCTCGGACCACACCCAGAGCGGTTCCGTCCACTCCAAGGAGCGGTGAAACGGCCACTTGAAACACGCGGTGGACCCGGTCTGGTGGGTTCGAGGTGTCGGTTTGAGGGTTCTGGCGTGTCTTCTTGTTGGTGTTAACTTTATGTCATTTGTTAGAGAGAGGTGTTTAACGATGGTCATGGCTCGAAGGGGAATATGACAGAGTCATGGCTCGAAACTTGAGACGATTGAACTGGGATGTCGACCAGCGGAATCCACATGGTCTTCACCACTTCGTCACCGTGTCATGCGCCACGTCACCGCACGACGACGTCCGTGTCTGTCGCCTCCCCCTGGATTCGCGGTCACGTCAATGGAGCACGTCACGTCACGCGCCCCAAGTCCTTCGCATCCTTCGCATTCGCTCCGCAGTCGGGAGAGGACTCGGGCAAGTTGGATGTGGCTCCTCCGGCTCGGCCCATGTCCTATCCGGTGAGCGTCCGCAATGCCTCTAGACTGCATGTGCCGACGGTGATCGCCGGTGTGCGGCGTTCGACACCGTCACAGAACTGATACACCAATTCGAGGCCAAATCGTCAGGCTCAGGGCAGCCGTTTCTAGTGTACCTTTTTTCTTACAGGTTTTCCATGTTTCCGTGCCATTTTTTGGCCCACCGACCTGAAGATGGGCAAACCGCAAACCATTGCAAACCACTCCATCGGCTCGATGTTCGACCGACCTGTGGGTTGCATGTTCGGGTAGCGAGACACCCATCAGTTGTTCCCTGCAGAGGGGAGACCCGGAGTGAGAGGCACCAGTTGAAGCAGAACACGGAGTCAGACGGAACCCGAGTTTGGAGAGTGCGTTTCTGAGACACGAAGCTCTTTTCCACTGCAACAGCCATCGACTTAGAGTAGAAGCACCTTCATCCTGCGACTTGGAAAAAAAAAAAAGCAAACATGACCTCATTCAACCCCTCTCATCCATGGGCTTCCTCGCACTGGTCGATCTTACTTACAGTCCGCGTTTTCTCCGATCATCCGTGCCGGTCGGGACCTGAGGTGGAAGATGGCATGGAGATGTTGGATTGGAGGCCTAAGCGTTGCCATGGTGCTTTGGCAACTGCCTGGGCCCAGGTGTTCAGAGCTATGGACCGGAAGTCACATCGAGATCCACATTGGGAGCTTGGGGAGATTGAATGGTCACCATTTTCCGATCCATTCAGAAACATCCATGTTCCATGACAAGTCCATGTGGTTCGGAACATGACAGTCAAAGAACAGACGTGGTACGTCTCAGACGTGGTTGTTCAGGGGGTTTCCGGGTTTGGTGGAACGAACCACCTCAATGAGGGATTTTTTGAGTGGCTCTGAACATCGAGCTGAGCTGGGTGAAGGTGAGGCCATGTTGGTCCACCCCTCGGTCTCAGAACATCTGTGTCAGAACTGCCGGCTGGCCATGGTTCGTTTTTGTCCACTCTGAAGGACATGTTTAGAATGACAGTATGAAAATCTAACTGGTGCTTAGAAGGGAATGAGGCACGAGGCCTTGAAGGCATGAATTCGTCACCGGTTTGCTAGTGAAATTCATGAATTATCTCAATCCAAAGCAACCGCGTACCTGGAAATTTGTCCAAAGCATGTTATTTTTCTTGAGGGGCGCTCCTTCCCTATCTTCCCTCCTTCCTCGTCGCACGAGGTCTCCCTTTCATGATTGGATGGTGGATGGTAGACAACACACTGGATCTTATACCCTAAACCACTTGAACTGAGTGGTGCTGGTCGTTCCTGCTTCATACCGCATGAATACCTGACCCAAGTCCTGATCCACTTTTTCGACGTTATTTGCCTCCTCAGGCCACTCCGAAAGAGAGGGTGTTGCAAAGCGTTCGCACCGAGCGCTGGCCTCCCGTGCGGGCCCCGCAAAAGCGATGGCCTTTTACGATTGGTTGATGAATAAGAGGGGGAGACCCGGGGAGACCCCCAAGTGTACCGGTCGCAAGCGGTATACGGTATACATGGCAAGTACCTGGCACTGATTTTGTACCTGGCACTCCGGTTTGGCCGGACATGGAGCGTTTGGGCCGTTTGAGCAGCTGACACAGGTTTGGGGACTGGGGTGACGACTTGCGGGCTGAAATTCAGCGAGGGGGACACGTGTGCACCCCTCTTTCTGCCAGAATTTCCGATCTTGATGATATTTCAAGCTATTTCAACCCCTCAAGCCTGAAGAGGTTTTACAATCCAAGCAGACATGCGGGGTTGAAATATGATCAAGAGGCTACATGAATTTGAGGCGCCAGGGCACTGCTACTTGTTATGTGGGATTCTCAGGCTTCCACAGAACATCGGTTTGACTTCTGTATGAAGGATATGAAAGGGACTGGCAATGAATATGCTTAGTAGACTCTGACGGATTAAAGCTTCTGCAGGGGGACAGAACACATGGTGATTCCACACCGACCGTGCATGGGGGTTGTCCAAGTTATGGAGCCGACGATGCATCGCTGATTCGCTGGAGTCGATGCAGTCATGGTTCGGGCCAAGGTGGGAAGTCAGACTGTGGACATCACCATTCTATCCGCGGCAGGAGTGTGGGTCCAATGCGACAGGCGACCTGAAGTGTTTTGATCCTTGGAAGTGCGGGTGCAGGGCTCACTGTAGAGCATGCCTGAATGCCAAGTCTCCACCACTGTGGTTTTCATCCTCTTGCTGGTTCTTAATTGCGGAAAGCTTCTGCTCTCTTTTTCCAGCTGACCTTCTCCCCAAGTGCAGAGAAAGTGTGATGAGCTAGCCACGTTTGAATCAAGAGTAATCATATATTAAGATAACACAAGGACCCCCATGATAGTGGGGGCTTGCTAGGTCCCGCACCCCTCGGGACTTCAGATTAGAAAGTCAAAAAGAATATCAAACGCACTCAGTGGTTTCTTCACCACTCAGTGGTCTCTGAGCCTTCCTGACGTTCTTCACGTTCTTCGCCTCGGTCTCCGCCACGGCTTTGGGAGGACTACCGAAAGCCGATCGAACCGGGCACTCAGATCCCTATGTGGTTGTAGAGGCCGAAGTGGGAGGGTTCCGTGTAGGTTCCGTGTGGGGTGGCAGGGGATTGTGAGGTGGCTGGTTCGTTGTCATTTCTTTTTTAGGAGCCGGAGTCTTTCGAGTCTCTGGATGTTTGCGGATTTGGGATTGGGGAACGTTTTTGGAACATGCAGGATGGAGACATGACCACCGAACAAAAAAACATCGATGCAGCAAAAAACCTTTCTTTAGACATTTACAAGGTTTTGCCAGGTCGCTCACGTTGGCACTATTGTGGATCCGCGAGAGAGGGGTTCATTTTTTTTTTTCAGTTCTTCTGCTTTGGTGGGGATTGGTCTGGAACCTCTTCACGCTGTTGTTCAACGATTGAGATGTTTGCTTGGTGAGCGAGAGACTTGAGTGACTACAGAGAGAAGAGGCAACTCTTCAGGAATCAAGAAACTAGGAAGAAACGACTTCAGCTGTTGCACTAGCAATGCTTGGCAGTAGCTTGAGACTTACTTCAAACACCATGGTTTCAGTGGTATTGCGACCCCGCAAGATATTTCATATACAATGCAAAGACCTGGAAGACAGTGTGAGAAAGGAACAGGATCACTTGATATGAACAGCCCACCTTTTCTGTTTGGACTGTGTTGCTTGAATCGCTCCTCCTTTCCGCGCCACAGGTTCCTGGAAAATCCAGGTCCAAAGCCAAAACAACTGCAGGAACCTGAGATGCCAGTCTGCAGATTGGGCCACCAAGCGGTGCTGAACATACTCCACCGAAAGATCAACATACTATAGAAAAGCTTCACCTGAAAACAGGCCCCTCAACCAGCAAAGTATGATTTCCTTTTGCCTCACACAGTCTGCAGACCACGTGAATCTTGGGGAAGTGCAGCATTTGCAGAGTGCCCAGCAGTCGAGGTTGCTCATTACACCGAGAATCCTGTTTGGAACCAGCCGCTGGTTGTGTGCCGGACTTAGACATTGCAATTTGTATCATCGATACCAAGTAAGAGAGATCGATAGAAGCTACAAGTTTATGGTAGATCAAGAGGTCAAGGCCTGTTCTTCTGCGTGTGGCAGGCCTCTGATGACCTCTGGATTTGTGCCACCATTTGAGAGGTATGTAGAGTGTAGAGCTCAACATAACTCGCGACTTCTTCGGGGAAGCCAGGCCCACCGATGTTGTGGGAACCCGTGGCTTTTCCTTGGAATCGTTCAATTTGCTCGGGTGAACTGGCCTTCGACCCCGTCGGTGTGGCTGGATGCCGGTTCACTCAAGGCGTGGATGGCGACGTGGTGAGCCACTGGCCATCTCTGCCCGGACGTCGAGAGCTGTGAGAGACCGGTCGTCCGCGGTCCACGTGGACCCCGAAGCGGTCGGACGACGTGGAGAGCGGGAGCATGCTGGAGCTGGAGCGGTCGGAGACCTTGTCCTTTCTACGTCTGGTGTATTATCACGGTTTTTCATCGGCGTTGACGCAGTGAAACGCATTTTGGTCATGTTGAGTTTGAAGAGACATGATCAGATCATCTAATGAAAGGCCATATGCCGTACGCATGACTCCGAATTGGCGGTGGAAAAAGAGAGGAACATGAACTACCCCCAAGAAGCATCACTGCAGTGAGAGAGTTTTATAGGCTGGCATGAATGAAAGGGAGATCCATGTGAGTTCGTGCCATACACTCCGTTTCAAGAACCAGTCAGTTCAACATGAAAGACAGATCACCCTTGCCATACCAGGCTTATGAAATAAAGCACCCTTGCACGGAGTAATTAAGGAGGATGAAAATCCATCAACCTGATCATCGAAGATACACTTACTATCCGATTCTTTTGCAGAATCCAGTGAAATGATCCTACACAACATTTCTATTCAGCAGGTTCTACATAAACAAGTTATTTAAATTGATTGTGGATGGCAACTGCATGATTATCCTATATACCAGATCTACTGTAGTAGAATCAATCTCTCCCACATCCATCGGCGTAGCCCGTAAAACGCCTAGGTGGTGGATGCCGACGTCATGGGCGCAGATGATCAGCTGGCCTTTGTTCAGGCGATGGATGGCTCCGAACATGGCCAACACCAGTCCCTTTGTCACTCACCCTCCCGACGCAATGACTGGACCTTCGATCACAGCTGTGGCTTTCTTTTTCACGTCGACCTCTTCGTGTCAGACGGTCGTGCAGCTCGTCGTTGGCCACCACCGCGCCGTCACGGTGTGCCACCGGTCCACCGGGAACACGGAAGCTTCCACCGGGTTCGCAGGTGCCGAGTGCCGACCTCTTCCCACACGGCTTCGAGGGAAGGCGTGCGATCTCGCGGCGCGTTCCGATGGCTCGCGCGACGCGCTCGCGCCGGGACGGAGGTCCGATGGTCCCAAACGAGTCGCTTTGTGCCGATGTTCCCGATGTTTCGATTGTGGATTGGATGAAAGATCTCCCGCTTGTCCGAGTTGGAACACCACGGTGTGCGCGTGCTTTTTTTGGTGAACGGTTTCAGGCTGGAGATGCAGAACACCTGGGTCTTGGACAAGGGCATGAACGAGGAGTACAAGCAGTACAATCTCACCTGCAGGCAGCTTGTAGCAGTACAACAGAAAACAGAATCGACAAACACTTTGTGTGAATTCCGATGCTTCACTTCTCATTCCGCTTCGCCGTTTCCACTGACGATCCTAAAAGCCGGTGGAGCATCGATCCTGGCAAGAGCAGCGATCCCGATCCCGCGTGAGGAGCTTCACACGCGTCGTGTGGTTTCGCTTCACGGCACGTGTGAAAGGGAGGATGTCCTTCTAAGTTTGAGTGTCCCTCCCAACAAGGAAATGGGTTCTCCCACTCTTTGTTGGAGGAACAGAGTCTTCCAACATCCACTTTGCGAAAGGGAGGGTGTCTGGTGGGCCCCAGCGGTCGGTATACGTCCCGTATACGTGACGCCGTATACGTCGGACTGATATCTCCGTGAGGCCCAGCATTGATGTGAAGATTTCTTTGCGAGATGACATCTACACCGGAACTGGGCCCGGGCGCCCTAGTTTGAACGAGAAGCTGCGGCTGCTAGGACGCTACTAGGTTGGAGGCCATGGCTAGTAGGAACAAGAAGCTTTGGTAAAATGTATGAGCTCATTTGGTGTCTCAAAGGAGGACAACGAATGACGAGCAGGACTAGTCTGACTAGACGAGACTAATGACTAGATGAGGGAAAGTCGATGGATGAACCAACAGCTGCGTTGAGACAACACCCATTATTTCACATGTCTTTCACATGTCTGATGTCTTTGCTACCTGCTACCGGCTCAGGCTGTCAGATTCTATCATATTCTAGTGCACCAGGCTGAGCTACAGCTTGCCTAGTTCCAGCCGGTGAAACCCCTGGTCGAGGCCAGCGCTGAGCTACCTGCAAGCGGAACAGGCGGTACCGGCCCTCAGGGTCGAAAACCGGAACCGCCTGGTCAAACACCTGGTAGGTTGACCATGTAACTGTAGTCGATTCTTATCATTTTGGAATCTTTTGGGTTCTGTTGGAATCTAAAGAAATCTATATTATAGCGAGGATTCAGAACCCTGGCGGAATCCCGTTTGAGCCAGATTTCTTGGGCTGGCCTGGCCTGGCTTTCGATTTCGATTTCGGCTTGAATTGCCACTTGGAGCACCTTTCCTGCGACCGGAAATGGGTTAGTTAGACATGCCGTTCGGTTGAGGTCAGCATGCCAGATGCACAACCTACCACCGGTCTTGGCCCAAGCAAGCAGCAACTTCCCAGAGGCAGTTAGTCGATGTTAGTCGATGTTAGTCACTGTCTCTGACCGTCTTTTTTTGACGAGGCGCAGTGTGTGCACACCTGGACAATTTCGAAGCAAAGCTCAAGCCCGTTTGAAACTGAGACTGTGGAACATCGAGTCATGAAAAAGCCAATGGTTGAGTTCACTTGAAGCTACAATCCCAATCCAACCCTCTCCCATACTCCCCTAAGCCAGAACCTCAAGCCATCGCTCGCATGGCAGCGACCTCCACCACACCAGATCTTGGTTGGTGCTACGGCTCCACCTCTTTCCTCCGCTGCCGCACTTGGCACTCGCTGCTCCGGCTGGTAGTCCAGGTGCTGCGACTTGGAAATTTCTGGATGAGCACGCCCTTGCATGACCGTCGAAGCCTCAGTCTGTCGGGACACCGGAAAAGCGACGAGACTCGTCAGCACCACCAACAGCTGGTCGTCTCGCGAGACTCATGGTTGAAGACTGGTGGTCGGGCATGGTCAAGGACCCAGGAATATCCAGAGGAAGCCTTCCAACATCTATTTTCCTGTGCAAAGTGTTCGGGCGAGACTTCGAGTAGCAATTTCCCAAGAATCGCTGACACTCGAAAAGAGAGGGCTGAATCTGGTTGGAGACCCTATGGCCACACGGCACGCCAGAACGGGTTAGGGCCAGGTTTCATGCTTGTGACCGGGAAACTCCCCCCAGGTAAACGCCTCCTCGTCCTGCACCCTCATCCCATCACACGATCGGCCCTAAGGTGCCTAGCGTTCTTGGTGCTGTCCAGAAAGACCGTCGATGTGGCAACACTTGGAGCAGTTGCCAATGCTGTGAAATGCATTTAAATGTACCCTGTACATCCTGTACATCCTGTACTCCTTGATAGTTTCTTTGATCCGACACACGGTGATCACTGCACATGGTTGCACTAAATGATCACTCTATATACGCATGTTTATTTCTTCCGGTCTTTCTTGGTTTAGATTGCCACCTGCATGGCGCAGTGTCGTTGTTGAAGATCAACAACAGCTCCGAAAGCCAAAGACAGTGAAGAGTCTCTGACCTGATGCAACGAGAGAGAAGTTCTTTTATGTTCTTTTACTTGAGTGGGACAAAGAATAGAAGAGTCTTTGGCCTTCTTTGGATACTGACGTTCGACATCTTCAGACTCTACCGGCGATTTCGTAGCTTGGACACGACTGCCGTGACTCCGAACGAGTTCTCGCGAGAGAACACTCGCGAGAACTCGCTTGGGGTGTGCTGGGTGTCGCTCGATGTGGGCGGCCAGAAACTTGAAGACAAAGGGAATTCCCACGGGAAGTCTTGGGACCTTTGATTCTTTGGTTCTCATGAGCTAGAAACTTTCCTGTGGTTTCTGGCGTCCATGTACATACAGTAGCTGCTGAGATGCTCAAAACGAGCTCTATCACAACTTGGATATTACCCTCTGGTGATGCAGTGCAGGCTTTGGAACAAAACATCGCGCTAGCCCTTTTTCGAGTTACAGGTCCATTTTGACCTGGGAAGTGGGGAAACCATGGGAAACCCACCGTTCGTAGAGCTACTTGACGAACATCCCCAGACCAACATAGTCCCTGACAATTGACCGTTTTTGGGCTAATCGGGGCTTCCTGCTCTGTAGCCGGGGTGGCTGCTGCCGGCCATAGACTCGAATTGGTGCTAGTCTTCTTGCTTTTCAAGCGCGGAAGACTCGGATGCCGAGCCGTTCTGTACTCAGCCAGACAATGAACATCTCAGGCAGTCCCAAGATGAAAGTGACATATCACCGCTAGAATTTTGTCAAGTTCTTTTTAGAGTCCCTTACATGTAGATATCGAAAGTTGGAACATTTCCAGCCTCCTTGAAGCCAACCCCCTTCGAAAGATCAAACCAATCAGAATTTCTCAAGCCAGCCAGCCATGCCGATCTGCCTGTGACGAGGCGTCAACCTCCGGTCTTTTTTCACCTTCAGCGGTTTCAAGCGGTTTCGCTGTTAACGTGAAACAATGCGAAACAATGTGTTTCACACCTAGAAAAACCTTCTAGGAGCACCCTGGAGTTCGGGTGGTTCATATTATAGACACGGCACACATTTTACATCCCCTTTTTCCTCTGTATGTTCCATTTTCCATCCCCAAACCCACCCAAACTGCCTCCGTGCAGACTCTGCTTCTCGGAAGACCCGAGCGGCCCGAGCGATCGAAAGGAAACCCTCACGCGGCCGGACCAACAGAGCTGGGCGGAGTGGCGTGGGTCCGCTTCGGATGCGTCGGATCCCTCGCTCGGGGGGGGCATCCGCACTGCGTTGTCGCAAAAGAGATGAACGAGGCCAATGGCACAGCCCAACCAGGCGTCCTACCCCCGACTGAAACATCACCTAACATCATCAAACGTCAAAGCAACTCTTCAGTCTCCCTCTTCTGAGTTGCGAAAAAACGTCCTCCAGTTTGCCCACCTTCCGGTTGTGCGGAGGCATGAAGCGAAAGCCTCTGGAAGCGGATGCAGCGATGACGATGTCGACACCTGCACTGTTCACCTCGAAGGTGGAGAAAGCTGTTGCTCACCTCGATGGGCTGCAACAAGTCATGACTCGAGACCTTGGGGGGGCTAGAAATGGATTCCGAAGTGGATCTTGGTTTTACAGCTAATGATGCTAATGGCCGTTTTCTTTTTTAAATGAAATCTTCAAGACACCTTCTTTTGCAGCGCTTGAACACGATTTAACTACGCAAACTCTGGCCTATTGTGATTGCGATTCTTGGACTTTTGCAAACTCGTGATGCCCGTTTGGATCCAAGACCACACAACCGGTAGTTTTGCACTCAGCAACCTTGCTCTTCGACAAGCAGAATGGCTGCTGTGATGACGTCGGAAGTGACACGAAGGACCTTGAGGTTCACGCGGATGTGCCGATATTGGGGCTCAAACCGTTGCATGATGGGTGATACTTGCAACTTTGCACACTCAGATGATGAGTTGAGGCATGCTCCGGACTTGGTGGCCACCAAGCTTTGCTATCAGTTCTCCTCGAAGGGCAAGTGCAGCAAGGGAGCTACCTGCACCTTCGCCCACGGGGCCCTTGAGCTCCGCCCGAGCCCACCGGAAGCGCGGCGACCCCAAGAGATGGAGCCCATGAAGGTGGCGCAGGTGGCGGCCGACGATACGGCCGTGTCTGTCCGACCCACACGGACGTGTGCGTCCAAGCTGGTCTTGATCACCACACCCTTCCGTCCTCCTCCTGGACTCCTAGCTCCGGAAGAGATCAAAGATCGCTTTGAGTCGGAGAGTGCGGCATCAACTTCATCTCCTTTCAGCCCTCGAAAGGAGTCAAGTGAGATCGACAGCGAACCTTGCAGCCCCAAGAGTGAGATCTTCTGGCTGTGAGCGGCCAAGCCGAGGTTCGGCGTTCTCCGTCCCTAAAAACAACGACGTCATGTTGCTTGGCAGCACTTCTTTTTCAAAGAATGGAGCTTCATGTCCAAGTAGTGCTGTCTGCGCACCATTTTGGCCTCAGAAGTGGGGCTCTCGTTCTTTTGTGCCCAAGTTGAGGGCACTGGGTAGACAATGGTTTAACCCAGTTTTTCATCCCTCAGCAAGCACGACTACATGAATTTCGTCTCAGTGACGAAAGCAGGAGGATGCAGACAAAAAAGGCCCTTGTTCTGGGGGTAGGCAGACTGACTGAAGTTTGCAGGTGGTTATGAAGGAGGTGGATCATTTGCTTTGCATCACCATCACTGGCCTTGTTTTGCTGTTTCCCACCGCCTGGCCAGCTTCTTAAGAACGCAAGGCCTCGCTTCCCTCCTCAAGCCTCTCTCAACCAGACAGAGCGGCTTACGACTGCGCTCTTGACAGGGAGGGCGATCTACCCAATCTTTTTAGGAGGGGAGAGAACTGTGTACCACATGATACTGTCCAGTCACCAAGCGGATGAATAAGAAAAGAAACCCAATGGGGGTTGTTGAGATTTGTTCACTTAGCCTTCGAAAAATCCATCTCCATTTAGACGTCTCCCTTCCCATCTCATGAACATCAGCTGGTCAGGGCACATTTGATGGCAAGATGACCTTGAATCTTTCAGAGGCCCGGCTTGGTCGATTCAGTGGGGTATTTCTTGTCGCAGTCAGCGGTCGCTTCAGCGACGGTACGTCGGCCATGATGTGCCGGAGGCATCCACTACACAGCTGTTGCCAGGTGAGCCTGGCTCAGGTTGACCGGGATTTCTGGCTCGGGATGGCGGGGGGCTGGGGCTTTTGCACGTTTTCGGAGAGACCCGAAAGGGACGGAAGAATTCGGTGAACATGTGTACTTGGTTTGGAAGATTTTTGATCATTTGCATGTGCTTTCGCACATGCTAATAATAGATTAACCTCTGATTAATGAACTTTGCTAACTTTATTTCGGGTCCCTTTATTTATCATAGGTCAACATTACCCTTCCTGGGAGAACACCGATGAACTCGTTCGTCCTTTGCCCCTCCCCCATCACCACGCAAAACCGGGTGTTAGGTCGGACACCGGGACAAACGGGTCTGTCCGGCATACCTTTTGTTGACGTTTTGGGACCTGCCGACCGGTCTCACATCTTTCAACGCCCCGTTGAAACCGCGCCGGGCTTCACGTGCGGAGCGCACGCGCGCGCGGTTCACGTGGAGGTCCAGCGGATCGGCGTTCGGCCGGCGTGGGGAGCCCGAGCGGGTGGGACGGCCCGGGAGACGAGTGGAGGATGGTGCGGTGGATGGGGGGGGTAGGAGGCGGTGGATGGTTGGAGGGTGGTGTGTGTTTTTGACGTCCGGTACAGCATGGTGGAGCTGTTCCATCTGGAGCGACGATTGAATTGGGTGAGAGCAGGAAGGTGAGGAAGACACACCGCAGTTGCTCGCACTTCTTCTTCAGCTGCGCTGAGGAACTGCGCCGCAACAGCAAGACCCTTTACAAGACCTCCATGAGTGAAGAGCTTGAGCATGTTCGGTCCGGTCGGGGGTGTTTCATTTTGGAAAGTACATGGCTGAACTCAGTAGAGTGGGTGAGCAGTGTTCGGCGGCTCGAGTCGGTTGGATTTAGATGCTAGATGCTGAACACAGTTGGGAAGAAACATTACACCTGCTGACACTTGATGTCCCAAGAGAGAGGATCCTGGCACTGCCAGGGTCAATCGCAAATGAGCGACACAAATGGACATGCCGAGGCCAATCCGCCAAGACTCTTTCGGACAAGCCAGATCCTTTTGAGGAGGTGGGTGTTCAGCCAGGTGACTCCCCATCCATGCAGTGACTGTGAGATACTGTGAGACTGATGATGACTGATGCGCAGATGGAACTACTCTGAAATACAAAAAACATCCAAAAACATACTAAAATATAGAAACCCAAGCGCAGCAGGGATGTGGGCAAGCTCAAAGCCATTTTTTTCAGGAGGCGTTGACCTCAGGACAACATGTCCCAGGCAGACTTAACTTTAGGGCCACCCGATTGTCTTGGAAGAGTTTCCTCATGTTTCCTCTCTAAAACAGGGGCTTCTCTCACTTCCACGTTTTCTGGGAAGATGTCGACACGAGACACGGACATCGACACCCACTGTTCCACCCTGGAGTTCTCCGATCATCGTCTTCAACGAAGTCACTTGGGCTTGGTGAGATTCCAACCGGAGAATGCGATGCCTGACGTTGGTGCTCTAGGTTGGCGGTCCAGGAGTGGCGGTCTACACACGTTGAACCCGTCCCGCGGCGTTAGCGTTGTACAGAACTTCTTGGTGTTGAGAGTTGAGAGATGGCAGTTCTTTCAAGGCCTGTGGTAGGCAAGACCTTAGGTGAGCCCCCTACAAAGCTTCAGGAGTTCCAGCTAAACTTGACAGTTAGAAAACTGTTACATGTTACAGGCACCTTAGCATCTTCGGTTCTTGGATATATCACCTATGGACGAACTGGGC